GAGTTGGACTTGAACCACTCTACAAACATTCTATAGCTGAATAACGGCTACAGCGTGGTTGTCCAGTGTCGGGAGGGCGTCATATGACATCCTCCCAGAATGCGCCCCCCCCCCAGCAGCGCGCACCCGGTGCTGTCAGTGATCTAGGTAGACTAGGTAAAAGGCCAATCACAGTGACCTTTTACCACGTGATCAGCTGTGTCCAATGACACAGGAGATCACAAAGTAAATACAGTTGCCGGTAATCGGCAGCACTTTTCTCACGCTGTCACAGCTTGAAGAAAGTACTGCCGATCACTGGCAAATGTCACAGAGGACATCCACACTGATAATCAGGGTACTGATTATCAGTGCCCAGCAGTGCCACCCAGCAGTGCCCAGCAGTGCCACACATCAGTGCTACCCAGCAGTAGCGCCCAGCAATTGCATCTATCAGGGCCCAGCAGTGCCTAGCAGTGCCACCCACCAGTACCCAGCAATGCTCAGCAGTGCCACCCATCAGTGCCCAGCAGTGCCACACATCAGTGCTGCCCAGCAGTGGCACCCAGCAGTTGCATCTATCAGTGCCCTGCAGTGCCTAGCAGTGCCACCCACCAGTGTCCAGCAATTCTCAGCAGTGCCACCCATCAGTGCCCAGCAGTGCCACACATCAGTGCTGCCCAGCAGTGCCACCAGTCAGTGCCATCAGTCAGTGCTGTCAATCAGTGCCCATCAGTGCTGCCAGTCAATGCCCATCGGTGCCTCCTGTCAGTGCCCATCAGTGCTGTCTATCAGTGCAGCATCATCAGTGCCTCCTCATCAATGCCCACCAGTGCCGCCCCATCAGTGCAGCCTAGCAGAGCCCAGCAGTGCTGCCTTTCCATGCCACCTCATCAGTGCCCATCAGTGCTGCCTATTAGTGCTCATCAGTGCAGCCTCATCAAGGCACATCAGTGAAGGAGAAAAATTACCTGTTTGCAAAATATTATAATAGAAACGAAAAAAACAAACATTTTTTTTCAAATATTTTGCTCTTTTTTTGTTTATTGTGCAAATAATAAAAAGCCCCATGCAGATTAAATATCAGCACTGAAAGCTGAAAATTGACCTGGGCATGAAGGGGGTAAAAGTGCCCATTAGGAAAATGGTTAAGTAAGGAATTGCTACACAGTACCTGCAACTACAGCGGTTAGTGAGGGCTTTCTGTAGCCTCCCTAGCGGCCTGATTATGTCCATATTTCTGTGCTCAAAGTGGTACTTTTTTTGCATGGAAATATGTATTTTTTTTATTGTAGGCCTGTAATTCTTAGGAATAACTCACTGAAATCTGTCTGAACAAGAGTCTAGTAAACATCCCGGGTATGATAAAATTTGAAACACGAAATCATAAATTATGATTTATTAAATAATCATAAAAAATAATAATATAATAATAAATTTAATTCAATAATGTCATCAAACCAAAAACACTGAAATTTGAAATATAGCGCCAAGTTCGCACATCACTGAGCAAAGTCGCAAAATCAGTGTCTGATGAGGAATTTCCCCCATAAATCATTATCACTCAATTCTGCAAGTAGTTCTGATTTACTATCGCTGTTCTCTAGCCGGTCTAAAACCGATTTTGACCTAAAGGGACGCTTTTTGGACGCAATGGACATTTCTCAGTTTCCAGGCAGAAAGAACAGTAAAAATGCAGGCAGGGCGCCGGACAAAGCACTCGGGACAATATGTATGTGAAATAGTTTGATACAGGAATGTTATACTATCAGATTTTAGTGTATTTAGTGAATGTCACTTTTAAAATTTTCACATTTCCCACCAATTCCGTCCCCATACATTCCGTACGTCCTGACGGTGCAGGAAACGGAACAGATGCCGGCATTGGCCGGAGGACATTGCCAGGGACACTGCAGGAGGGGGGGACATCGCGGGAGCGCAGGACAAGGTAAGTGAAGAAGAGATCCCGGAGCAACGCTGCAGTGTATTCCCGAGTGTAGCTCGGGGGGTTACCGCTTGTGGTGCTGAAACTTTACCCCGAGCTACACTCGGGAATACCGACAGGGAGTTTAAAGTGTATTCCCACTTTTGCAGCCAAGTTGGGATAAAACCTACTTTATATTTGTTACATGTTCTCACTCACGTAGCTTAGAAAATATTTAAAATTTGCAGCTTACCTTTTTTAGATGCTCTATTCTGGATCTTTCAGCAAAGAAAAATCCTAAGTAGTTTTCTTTGTTTATGAGGGGCTGAGCAGCTGTGTTGGCCCTGTCTGTACTGTGCAGACACATCTCATTATTCATTTTAAATTTTAACCACTTGAGCTCCTGAGGATTTACCCCCCTTAATGACCAGGCCTTTTTTTGCTGTTTGGCGCTGCACTAATTCAAATGATAATTGCGCGGTCATGCAATGCTGCACCCAAACGAAATTTACGTCCTTTTTTTCACACAAATAGAGCTTTCTTTTGGTGGTATTTGATCACCTGTGTGCTTTTTATTTTTTGCGCTATAAACAAAAAAAACACAAAAATTTTGAAAAAAAAAACAATATTTTCTACTTTCAGCTATAAAAAATATATCGTAAACTCAAAGTTAGTCATAAATTTAAGCCAAAATGTATTCTGCTCCATGTTTTTGGTAAAAAAAATCCTGTGCATTAGCAGGCAAACTGGCACTATCTAGGAGGGGCGCTAACACTATCGGAAGTCACCAGCGACACTAATACAGTGATCAGTAAAAATCTGTTCACTGATCAATGACACTGGTGACAGGGCAGTGAAGGGGTCAACGCGGGGGGGGGGGGGGGGATCAAGGGGTTAGATGGGATTATTGGTGTATTAGCGGGCAATCTGGCGCTATCTGGGAAGGGCTCTAACACTATCGGAAGTCGCCAGCGACACTGATACAGTGATCAGTAAAAATCGGTTCACTGATTAGTGACACTGGTGACAGGGCAGTGAAGTGGTTAACTGGGGGGGGGGATTAAGGGGTTAAATGGGATTACTGGTGTACTAGTGGGCAATCTGGCGCTATCTGGGAGGGGCGCTAACACTATCGGAAGTCACCAGCGACACTGATACAGTGATCGGTAAAAATTGGTTCACTGATCAGTGACACTGGTGACAGGGGCAGTGAAGGGGTTAACTGGGGGGGGGGGCGATCAAGGGGTTAAACTGGATTACTGGTGTACTGGCGGGCAATCTGGCGCTATCTGGGAGGGGCGCTAACACTATCGGAAGTCGCCAGCGACACTGATACAGTGATCAGTAAAAATCGGTTCACTGATCAGGGACACTGGTGACAGGGCAGTGAAGGGGTTAACTGGGGGGGGGGGGGTGATCAAGGGGTTTAAAACGGGATTACTGGTGTACTGGTGGGCAAACTGGCGCTATCTGGGAGGGGCGCTAACTCTATCGGAAGTCGCCAGCGACACTGATACAGTGATCAGTAAAAATCGCTTCACTGATCAGTGACACTGGTGACAGGGCAGTGAAGGGGTTAACTGGGGGGGGGCGATCAGGGGGTTAAATGTGTCCTAGGTGTGTTCTGTTAGTGTAGTGCTTTGTACTCACTTTTACTGTGTCTTCTTCTCTGTCTGGAACGGAATGTGTCCAGGCAGAGAAGAATGACATCATATCCTGCCCTGTGTAAATGTCAACACAGGACAGGATAGGACAGGGACCGATCATCTGATTTCAGCCAGACATCACTGGCTGAAATCTAATGATTGATCCCTCCTGGATCGAATCGTGTCACCCGCGGGGTCGGCGGGAGCGCGCGCTTCGAGCGCGCGCGCGCCCCCTACATGCGGAAGTGTCGGGAGCGCGGAGCCCGTTTTAAAACGAGCTTTTGCGCTTCACTGCCGCCCTGCACACGTATATACACAGTGGCAGGGCGGCAAGCGGTTAATACTGTCTTCCCTAACAAAGGGTTAAATGTTTAGAGGCTGGGTTTCTTAGATTATATGTTAATGAGGACAGATGTAGGATAGACTCACTCTCAGGGGCGGACTGACAACTCATGGGGCCCCTGGCAATCGGGGATCATGGGTACCCTGTGTACTCGCCCACACTCAAACCACACTCAAAAAAGCCTATGAAAGGTACCAGGGGGCATCCCCATGGGGCCCCCTACTGACCCTGGGCCCTCGGGCAGTGCCGAGTTTCCCAAATGGTCAGTCCACCCCTGCTCACTCTAACATTGTTCAAAAAACCCTAGCAGTCAGCCATTGCTGACCAATCAGATCTAGCCCAAACTGTCATCGCTACAAGGAAAGGAAAGAAAATTCCCGCCGCTTTCTCTCCTCTACCATTGACAATCAGCATGTGATGCCTGAAGGGAGATTTCCTGCACCGCTCCTATGTGAACTCGGGCTATGACAAGTCTGGGTTCACACAGGAATAGTGGGGAAAACCAAATTATTTTTGGACAGGAATCGCATTCCTGTTCAAATCACAGGCTCCTAATGAGACGATGGATGGTGTCCTGGGGTATTTCTGTCAGGGCAGGAGCTGAGGAACGGACAGGCAGGCCTAATAATAATGTAACGCACTGGCTGGCGACAACCACCACCCACAGACCGAAGTCCCCCAGGGCGCGGAGTCTAAGTCCCAGGCTGCCCTTCACCAGGACCCCTGATGGTGGGGATGGACTTGACGCAGCCAGGAACCAGGTCGCGGCCCCCGAGACACCTCAGCTGCGGTAATGGCCGAGGCTATGGCGTGTAGCTGGTGGGAAAGACAATAGAGTAGTCAGGCAGACCGGGTTGACAACAACGGGACAAAACGGTACAGGACAGCAGACGAGAATCACGGGTCACGGGCCGAGTTTAGCAACGGAGGGTCAGATCAAAGGAGAACACAAAGAATGCTCAGGTCACAAGCCGAGTCAGATTCCAGGAGAGTCACGAGAGTCAGAACAGAGTAATAGCAACACAAAGACACAAGGCACAAGTGCAAAGGGCATGTGCGGACCACAGGTTTATATGTAATCAGCCACACTCCTCTGGGGGATGGACCTCAGAGACCAGAAGGCATAAAAAGATTCCCACCATGCTCTGCAGGAATCCAACATGGATGCCAGCACATGGAGAAACAACCTCTGGGAAAAGGTAGGACCTTGACAATTTCCTCCCAAATCTGGACCAGGGCATCACTGAGCTCCCGGACAGTCTGAGGTGAAACCTGGAGGCGTCGGATTTACTGGCGTTCCATTGGATTTAGGTCAGGCGAGCATGGGGGCCATTCAATGGTATCAATTCCTCCATCCTCCAGGAACTGCCTGCATACTCTCGCCACAAGTGGCTGGGCATTGTCGTGCACCAGGAGGAACCCAGGACTCACTGCACCAGTGTAGGGTCTGACAATGGGTCCAAGGATTTCATCCTGATACCTAATGGCAGTCAGAGTGCTATTGTGTAGCCTGTAGAGGTCTGTGCGTCCCTCCATGGATATATCTTCCCAGACCATCACTGACTCACTGCCAAAACGGTCATGCTGAACAATGTTACAGGCAACAGAACATTCTCCACAGCTTCTCCAGACCCTTTCACATCTGTCATATGTGCTTAGGGTGAACCTGCTCTCATCTGTGAAAAGCACAGGGTGCCAGTGGTGGACCTGCCAATTCTGGTGTTCAATGGCAAATGCCAATCAAGCTCTATGGTACTGGACAGTGAGCACATGATGTCGAACCACAGGCCACCCTCATGAAATCTGTTTCTGATTGATTGGTCAGAGACATTCACACCAGTGGCCTGCTGGAGGTCATTTTGTTGGGCTCTGGCAGTGCTCATCCTGTTCCTTCTTGCACAAAGGAGCAGATACCGGTCCTAACGATGGGTTAAGGACTTTCTACGGCCCTGTCCAGCTCTCCTAGAGTAACTGCCTGTCTCCTGGAATCTCCTCCATGCTCTTGAGACTGTGCTGGGAGACACAGTAAACCTTCTGTCAATGGCACGTATTGATGTGCCATCCTGGAGGAGTTGGACTGCCTGTGCAACCTCTGTAGGGTCCAGGTATGGCCTCATGCTACCAGTAACTGCCTGTCTCCTGGAATCTCCTCCATGCTCTTGAGACTGTGCTGGGAGACACAGTAAACCTTCTGTCAATGGCACGTATTGATGTGCCATCCTGGAGGAGTTGGACTGCCTGTGCAACCTCTGTAGGGTCCAGGTATGGCCTCATGCTACCAGTAGTGACACTGACTCTAGATAAATCCAAAACTAGTGAAAAACAGTCAGAAAAGATGAGTAGGGAAAAAATGTCTGTGGCCTCCACCTGTAAAACCATTCCTGTTTCTGGGGGGGTCGTCTCATTGTTGCCCATGTAGTGCACCTGTTGTTAATACAATTAACACCAAAGCAGCTGAAACTGATTAACAACCCCCTCTGCTACTTACCTGACCAGATCGATATCTCAGGAGTTTCATTGACTTGATGCTATGCTCTAATTAAAAAAATGTTCCTTTAATTTTTTGAGCAGTGTATTATAGCTGTACTTGATTCAGCTTAGAAGAAAGAAGAAGTCCTATTTTGGCAAAGGATCTTCTGATTTAGTCCCAGGACTTGGCTGGCTATATCTACAGTTAGTTTAGGAAAATATGTATTTATTTGAGAAAAACAAAGTTTTTTTTTTAACATATAGTACAGTAATATGTTGCTGTTTTAGTCCCAGAAGTCTAATTTTTCCACACTGAGAGTACTGAAAGACACATTCTATAAAAGATACGTTCACCTTTTGACCAAAAATAATAAATTCACATATTTCTGCATTGGTGAAAACCTTACATTTTAATTTCCCTTTACTTTTCTTAGCATCTTCAGAGCACCATTTTTGATCAAAAACTCATCCAATCCAAAGCATTCCTTTTTTTATATTTTTTTTATTTGACTCTTTAATACATTACATATTTTTTCCTTTAACCTGGTTTCTGTTTCACTGACAACTTTATAGAAATATTCATCTTAAAAGCAGTTCCCTGCTGAGCACAAGACGTACAGAGGTGGATGCTGTTAGGTGTGATTCACAAATAAGCCACTGTGAGTATAACCTTCAGCTCATAACCTTTTAATCTTCTGGTTCAGCATGTGGTTATAATGTCAATGAGGCACAAAATGTATTGCTAGTCGTTGTAAATGGTGCATTTCCTCCTTACCTTATGGCCGTATATTGTAAATTTTCAGGTTTCACATTTTTTTTGGGGGGAAAAAAAAAATTGATCACAATGATTTGGTAGAGAAAGAAATAAAAAGAAAAAAATGTAGCTTGCGTGTACATTTATTTAAGACTTTCATAGATGAAAAATATGTGTTTTCTTTTCTTTTGGGAAATTGGTTTCTTCTTTTCTGCAATCTTCATATTCTACAAATTAAAAATATTTTTGCATCTGCTTTAAACATTGTTTGCAGTCATGCCATGAAAAGACATCCAAAACTTTAATAAACATTACTTTTAAACTAGAGTGATTTGGGTTTATTTTATTTGACATTTTGTAAAAATGTATGCATTTTAAACTGATGTTTTATACATTTTTAATACAGAGGGGGGTGGCGGTGGACTTGGTATACTTGGACAGAGGGGTGGTGGTGGACGTGATATACTTTGACAGAGGGGTGGCGGTGGACGTGGTATACTTGGACAGAGGGGTGGTGGTGGACGTGGTATACTTGGACAGAGGGGTGGAGGTGGATGTGGTATACTTGGACAGTCGGGTGGATGTGGACGTGGTATACTTGGACAGAGGGGTGGTGGTGGACGTGGTATACTTTGACAGAGGGGTAGCGGTGGACGTGGTATACTTGGACAGAGGGGTGGTGGTGGACGTGGTATACTTGGACGAGGGGTGGAGGTGGATGTGGTATATTTGGACAGTCGGGGGTGGCGGTGGACGTGGTACACTTGGACAGTCGGGTGGCTGTGGACGTGGTACAATTGGACAGAGGGGTGGCGAGGGACGTGGTATACTTGGACAGAGGGGTGGCAGTGGACGTGGTATACTTGGACAGAGGGGTGGCGGTGGACGTGGTATACTTGGACAGAGGGGTGGTGGTGGATGTGGTATACTTGGATTTTGCAAAAGCGTTTGACACAGTTCCCCACACACGGCTAATGTGTAAGGTAAAGTCTACAGGCTGGAAAAATCTGTATGTAAATGGATAGAAAACTGACTAAAAGATCGTTTTCAGAGAGTAGTGGTTAATGATTCATACTCTGAATGGTCTAGGGGTGTCAGTGGTGTACCCCAAGGTTCAGTGTTGGGACCCTTACTTTTTAATATACTTATAAACAATATAGGGTCTGAGATTAAGAATCCCATTTCAGTCTTTGCAGATGACACCAAGCTGTGCCGGGGAATAACGTCCTTACAGGATGTCTCCATTTTACAAGCCGACCTCAATGCTCTGTGTAATTGGGCAATTATGTGGCAAATGAGGTTTAATGTTGATAAATGTAAGGTTCTGCACTTGGCGACTAAGAATATGCATGCATCATACATACTGGGGGGGGGGGTACAACTGGGGGGGACAATGGTGGAGAAGGATCTGGGAGTTCTGGTAGATCACAAGCTTAATAATGGCAGCAATGCCAAGCTGCGGGTTCTAAAGCGAGCAAAATCCTCTCTTGTTTTAGGAGAGGTATAGACTCCAGAGAGAGATATCATCCCCCGGTACAAATCATTAGTAAGACCTCATCTGGAATATGCAGTTCAGTTTTGGGCACCAATTCACAAAAAGAACATTGGGGAACTGGAGAAAGTACAGAGAAGGGCAACCAAACTGATACGAGGCATGGAGGAGATCAGCTATGAGGAAAGATTAGAGGAACTGAATGTATTCTCTCTTGAGAAGAGGAGATTAAGGGGGGGATATGATCACCATGTATAATACATAAGGGGGGATATGATCTCCATGTATAATACATAAGGGGGGATATGATCTCCATGTATAATACATAAGGGGGGATATGATCTCCATGTATAATACATAAGGAGCGATATGATCTCCATGTATAATACATAAGGGGGGGATATGATCTCCATGTATAATACATAAGGGGGGATATGATCTCGATGTATAATACATATGGGAGGATATGATCTCCATGTATAATACATAAGGGGGGATATGATCACCATGTATAATACATAAGGGGGGATATGATCACCATGTATAATACATAAGGGGGGATATGATCTCCATGTATAATACATAAGGGGGGATATGATCACCATGTATAATACATATGGGAGGATATGATTTCCATGTATAATACATAAGGGGGGATATGATCTCCATGTATAATACATAAGGGGGGATATGATCTCCATGTATAATACATAAGGGGGGATATGATCTCCATGTATAATATATAAGGGGGGATATGATCTCCATGTATAATACATATGGGGGGATATGATCACCATGTATAATACATAAGGGGGGATATGATCTCCATGTATAATACATAAGGGGGGATATGATCACCATGTATAATACATAAGGGGGGATATGATCACCATGTATAATACATAAGGGGGGATATGATCTCCATGTATAATACATAAGGGGGGATATGATCTCCATGTATAATACATAAGGGGGGATATGATCTCCATGTATAATACATAAGGGGGGATATGATCTCCATGTATAATACATAAGGGGGAATATGATCTCCATGTATAATACATAAGGGGGATATGATCACCATGTATAATACATAAGGGGGGGGATATGATCACCATGTATAATACATAAGGGGGGGATATGATCACCATGTATAATACATAAGGGGGGATATGATCTCCATGTATAATACATAAGGGGGGATATGATCTCCATGTATAATACATGAGGGGGGATATGATCACCATGTATAATACATAAGGGGGGATATGATCTCCATGTATAATACATAAGGGGGGTATAATCTCCATGTATAATACATAAGGGGGGATATGATCTCCATGTATAATACATAAGGGGGGATATGATCACCATGTATAATACATAAGGGGGGATATGATCTCCATGTATAATACATAAGGGGGGATATGATCTCCATGTATAATACATAATGGGGGATATGATCTCCATGTATAATACATAAGGGGGGGATATGATCTCCATGTATAAATACATCAGTGGTTCATATAGTGAACTCGGTGTAGAGCTATTCACCCTGAGGTCATCACAGAGGACAAGGGGGCACTCTTTACGTCTGGAGGAAAATAAATTTAATCTCCAAACACAGAAATGTTTCTTCACAGTAAGAGCTGTGAAAATGTGGAATAGACTCCCTCAAGAGTTGGTTCTGGCCAGCTCAGTGGATTGCTTTAAAAAAGTCCTGGATTCTTTCTTGGATACACAGAATATAACTGGATATAACATTTATAGGTAAAGTTGATCCAGGGAATATCCGATTGTCTCTTGGGGGATCAAGAAGGAATTTTTTTTCCCTGCAGGAGCAAATTGGATCGTACTTTGCTGGGTTTTTTTTTCCTTTCTCTGGATCAACTGTGGGTATAGGATTATAACTTTTTTTTTTTAATGGTTGAACTGGATGGACTTTTGTCTTTTTTCAGCCAGACTAACTATGTAACTATGTTTTAATCTTTGTTTTTTTTAAATTTGATTTATAAATAAATCTAATGCAAGATACACCGAATCATGGTTTTCACAGATCATTATGGGTTTTTTTTAAGAAAGAAATGGTTTTTTTTTTCAGATTCTTTCAAATTCTTTATTTTCATTTTCACAAACAATGGAATAAACATAATATACTTAGATAAATGGTACAGCATCTTGTGGTAAAATACATTAATAAAGTATTCGGTTGATGTAAATACATCAAAGCTTTAATATTTTATCATAAAAACATCAATATAGTACACTGAGTAGCTTGCGTTGGTGTCTTTAATGTATGATAATTGACGTGGTGTTTTTTGATACTTAGGTAAGTCATTTCACTGACAGTGGAACTCTTTTATTCATATAGAAGGGTTGGGGGTAAGGTGGTAATATAGTGATGGTATTTTGTCTAAACTGAACATAGTCCAGCTTCAGAGAGGTAATGGGTGGGGGGGGGGTAGGGAAGTGGTGGAAGTAATGGATCTGAGGAAGTGAGCCTTTCTTTGCATCTTCAGCACCCGTAAGGGTTAGATGGAATTATTTTGTGAATTCTGGAAGGGGTTGTGTTCAATCCTGAGAGGATTTTGTAGCTGGATTCCTCAACTTCTGAGTAGATGGATGATTTCAGGGAGAGATACACTATATTCCCAAAAGTATTGGGATGCCTGCCTTTACACGCACATGAATTTTAATGGCATCCCAGTCTTAGTCCGTAAGGTTCAATGTTGAGTTGGCTCACCCTGTGCAGCTATAACAGCTTCAACTCTTCTGGCAAGGCTGCCCACAAGGTTTAGGAGGGTGTCTATGGGAATGTTTGACCATTCTTCCAGAAGTGTATATGTAAGGTCAGGCACTAATGACGGACAAGAAGGCCTTGTTAGCAGTCTTAGCTCTAATTCATCCCACAGGTGTTCTGTGCAGTCATGTTGGAACATGAAGGGGCCATCCCCAAACTCTTCCCACAAAGTTGGGAGCATGAAATTGTCCAAAATGTCTTGGTATGCTGATGCCTTAAGAGCTCCCTTCACTGGAACTAGGGGACCAAGCCCAACCCCTGAAAAACAACCCCACACCATAATCCCCCCTCCACCAAATTTTATGTTTGGCACAATGCAGTCAAGCAAGTACCGTTCTCCTGGCAACCGCCAAACCCAGACTCGTCCATCAGATTGGCAGACAGAGAAGCATGATTCGTTACTCCAGAGAACATGTCTCCACTGCTCTAGAGTCCATTAGTGCCATGCTTTAAACTACTGTATCTGACGCTGTGCACTGCACTAGGTGATGCAAGGCTTGGATGAAGCTGCTCGGCCATGGAAACCTATTCCATAAAGCTCTCTACGCACTGTTGTTGTGCTAATCTGAAGGCCACCCCACGTTTGGAGGTCTTAGCTATTGGCACTGCAGACAGCTGGCGACTTCTGCGCACTGTGCCCTTCAGCAGACCCCGCTCTGTCATTTTATATGGCCTACTTCTTGGTGGCTGAGTTGCTGCTGTTCCTGGTTGTTTTCACTTTGTTAAAATACCACCGACAGTTGATTGTTGAATATATAGTAGCAAGGAAATGTCACGGATGGACTTATTGCACAGGTGGCAACCTATCACGTTACCACACTTGAATTCACTGAGCTCCTGAGAGCGACACATTCTTGCACAAATGTTTGTAGAAGCAGTCTGCATGTCTAGGTGCTTGATTTTACACACCTGTGACCATGGAGGTGATTAAAACCCCTGAATCCAATGATTTGGAGGAGTGTCCCAATACTTTTGGTAATATAGTGTATGTCTTCTGAATCAAGATCTTCTCTCATTTAGCTACAATTCTGTGTGTTGAAGGGGTGCAGGTATGGTGGTGGTATTCCAACCCAGATGTTTAAAACAAGGATTATATTATTCATAGAAAGTGTCTGAGGGGGGGGGTCTGCATTGGAAAATAATGTGTTGAGAGCCATTAGCATTCTGTTGTAAGAGATGGTGGACAATATGGAGAAGTAATGTCGCTGAAGAGTGCTCTAGAAATGTGAGCAAAAGTGTCCAGTTGATAATGTAAAGTACAAGAATGAAGGTCAATGTGAAAATGGAATAAGCCTTCTGTCTGAAGCCTTCTAAGGAAGGATGATCTGTATATCCCCTTGGGCCGGCTTTTGCAATATTGGATATAATGGTGAGGGGGTAGGTGATAG